TCCCTACCGATGACCGCGTCTTTACCGGATTGGGATACCTATTCGGACGTCCACCGCAGATAAGACCAACGGCCGGCCACCGCCTTATCTTGGTGGATCACACCCGAGACCAGGTCCCCGGCCCATCCATCTACATGCCAAGCACCGCTCTCCGCATATGCCATGTCAAAGTCTTATCATCCCGTAGCTCATGATTACACAGTTCACTGGGCTCGCGTGGCGACGCACTGTTTGTCGGTTGGAAAGTCGCCGACGAATGAGGAACCACAATCAGGGTTGCAATAGAGCTGAGGCGTGAGCACAGGGTCTCTAATATGGGCGATGGCCACCGCGGTCGTAGGTAAGTGAGAAGCAGAGACGTGGAGTTTGATGAAGAGCTGTCTTTCATACAATTGATAGGGATCTAATAGTCTTATTCGATCAAGATTGATCCGACTGACCATGGCGCGCTTTCGTATGCCTACGAAAGGCGAGATGGCCGCGCCTTTTCAATCCAAAGACGCCTTCGTAGAATGGATCAAGGCTCCCGAAGCTCACGAGGGACGAACTCAGGTCGGAGACTCCAGGTGGTCGAACAAAGACCTCGAGCCGACGCCGCCTGAACAAAGGACATGGACGTGGTATAACTTGCCATTATACTGGTTCTCGAATATGTTTGGCACGACCGGCTGGAATGTCGCATCTTCCCTCATCGCCGTGGGTCTAGTAAGTTATCAAAACAAGGCATCATTGATCATATGCGCTGACCAAAACCAGACATGGCAACAAGCCTTCGTATCTTGCGTACTTGGGTCACTGATATCCGCTATTATCGTTACTGGCATGGCGAGACCTGGCGTGATGTACCACCTAGGATAGTGCGTTTGAACTCTCCTCCCACGTGTGGTATTTTCTGACATTTATTCAAGTCCTGTCCTTGCACGATCGGTGATGGGCATGTATGGATCGTACTTTTTCATCTTCATCCGAGCAATTGTGTGTATCATCTGGTACGGTATTCAGACTTACTACGGCGCGAACCTGTTGTCAGTCTGCTTCCGCTGCATTTTTGGAAACAGCTGGGACAACTGGCCCAACATGCTTCCCGCTGGTGCCGACGTCACTTCAAAGCAGCTACTAGCGTTTTTTCTCCTTTGGCTGGTTGAGTTTCCGTTTGTGAGTACATATAGTATGCGACCCTTCAAAGATATTGATTCCCTGACATTGGCGGCAGACCTGGGTGCACCCAACTCACATTCACTACATCTACACCGTGAAAGGCTTCATCATGCCATTCGCTTGCTTCGGACTCTTCGGCTGGTGCATGTCCTACGGAACCGGCATCTCCAATATTGGCGCTGCATCTGTGGTAGGCGCATCAGCAGCAGCCAAGACGCCCGTCGGCTGGGCTATCATGAGCGGCATCAATGTCATCATGGGGTCTCTTTCGCCGATGCTCGTAAACCAGCCTGATCTTGCGCGATACTGCCGAGAGCCTCGGGATGCCGGTTGGCTCCAAGGAGCATGTGTCTTCTTCGCCAAGATCCTCGTCTTCTTCCTTGGCTTGGCTTCGACTACCTCGTTGCAGGGCGCCTGGGGCAAGGCCTACTGGAACCTGTGGGATCTTCTCGATGCTATTCTTGACCATTACTGGAACTCGACCGCCCGTGCTGGTGTTTTCTTTGTGTCGTTCAGTTTCATCCTCAGCGTGCTGGCGACAAACTTTGGTGCAAACTCGCTGCCTTTTGGCGCGGACATGACTGGACTGTTTCCCAGGTACTTGACGATCCGTCGAGGCCAGATCGTTTGTGCGATCCTCGGCATTGTTGTATTGCCGTGGAAGCTTATTGCGAACGCGTCTGCGTTCATCTCATTCCTGGGGAGTTACAACATCTTCATGGCTCCCCTATGCGCTGTACGTGCTTGAACGTCCAGTCTTGAAAACATGTTGCTGATTCTCACCAGATCATCATTTTTGACTACATTTTGGTTCGAAAGGGTAACATCCATGTGCCGTCGCTGTATAATGGCTCTAGAGACGGTCTCTACTGGTTCAAGTCTGGAGTCAACTGGGTCGGCGTGCTTGCCTGGATCGGCGGCACGGCAATGGGATTGCCCGGCCTCGTCGGGCAATACCAGCCTCAGATTGTCAGCCAACCGGCCAAGTACATGTACATGATGGGCTGGGTGTTGACGTTCTTTACATCGGCCATCTTGTATGCTGTGCTAGTGCAGTTTTTCAAGGCCAAGGTGTATCCTCCGGACTACGAGAATGCCCCGATGGACTACGAATGGCTGGCGAAAGAAGGTCGGGATGGGTTCTTTGAGGGGGAAAGGGAAGGCGAGATTTATGCGCCGCCATCTCCGCGCATTGATGAGGCTGAAGAGTTGCACTTGGGAGAGAAAGTGCAGAAGTTGGAGGCTTAATCGTGGTTTCCTAGTGGGTAATAGCTGTCGAGAACTTAATCCCCCATTCATCCCTACTCTGCTTTTGAGATGAAATAATTGTGGAAGAGATCTTAGTAGAAAGAGGAATGTTAGTAGCGATAGGTATCGTGGTAGTATCAGTGACAGTATAAGAAGAAGAAGTACAGTAGCAGTAGAAGTTCTTAGAGCGTCTCCTGGGGCAAAAAATTCCTGCCAACTAATACTTGGCATCCTCTTGACTTCATGTTGCCATGACGTGACTAGAGAAGCCGCCCCCAAGGCACAACGGCCAGCCAGCAAAGGCAATTCGTTGCGTAAGTCAGCGGGTCACCCTCGGCGTCTCAAAAAGCAAACACTGGAGTTTAGGGCGACAATGATCAAAAATCACGCCTCATTCGGTGGAAAGGTTCCGAATCGGACGTGTCGCAATCTGCTCTTGGGGGCGTAGGCGGAAATATTGCGGGGGAAACAAACGCGGCGGCGGATCTGAAGCCGACGATAACAGCCTGCGGGGTTGGAGTACCAGGGATGGCTCCTCTTCCGGCCGTTGGAGTCACCGGAAAACGTGTTTTGAAATAGCCGGATTGCCTCCAGATTACTCCAACTCTTGAGAACCCCACGACTTTGTTTCTCGTCCCGTTTCCTAGACTCTGCAAACTCGAGAGTTACCTCCTGAATTTCTGAAGTTCAGAACAGCTACTTTACCGGAATCACTAACGAAGCTCTTGAGTGTATACCCTGGACAGAGTCCACTGTAACCGTGGCGCTCTGACTCTAGCCGAGAGCCTTGCTAATAGGTACCCCGCCTTCTTCTAGATTGTCTCCCACTCTGAGGCACGAGTTTGTATCGTTGTCAAAACGAACTGAAGTTGACTCTTTGAATCTTTCCTTGACAACAGGCAAACCGCAATATCGTTACACAATGGCAGTTGAACCGTATAGACTTACGGCGACCCAGGCGTCGGCCAAGATTAGAACCGGGGAGTTGACTGTGGAGGAGTATGCGCGCTCGCTCTTGTCCCACATTGAGGAGCGAGACCCCGTAGTCAAAGCTTGGGAGTATTTGAACCCAGAGCAGGTAATTGCACAAGCGAAGGCAATGGACGCGATACCGCCAGAGAAGCGTGGACCCCTACACGGCGTTGCCATCGCGGTCAAGGACGTTATCTACACCAAGGGTCAGCGAAAACCTGCCGGGGTTTCTACAGGAGCACTAACAGAAATGCAGATATGCCAACACAGCACGGCTCTCCAATTTACGCTAGAGACGCCCCCAAAGTCGATGCCGGTTCCATCATTATTCTGCGACAAGCTGGCGCGCTGCTTCTTGGTAGGTCTATGCTGTTGATTTGACACAAGCAACGTGATACTGACACACGTAGGCAAAACAACCACGACTGAATTCGCAGCGACGGTTCAAGGCCCGAAGACAGTGAATCCGCATGGTACAAACCGGACCCCTGGTGGCTCCTCGTCAGGATCAGGCGCCGCGATTGCGGATTTCCAAGCGCCGATCGGCCTAGGAACCCAAACTGGCGGAAGCACGATCCGTCCAGGATCTTTCAATGGCATCTACGCCCTGAAGCCGACATGGAACTCCATCACGCGCGAGGGTCAGAAGATTTACTCTTTGATCCTGGACACCCTCGGCTTCTTCGCTCGCAGCGTCGAAGACTTGCAATTGATGGCCGATGTGTTTGACCTGAAAGACGACGAGCCCCCGAAGGACGTCTTTACAGTCAACGGCGCTCATTTCGCGCTGTTGAAGACGATGGTGTGGCCTCAAGCTGGGCCGGGCACTAAATCCGCGATGGCGAAGGCTGCGGAACTTCTCAAGGCTCATGGGGCCGAAGTCGAAGAGATTGAATTTGATCCAGAGCTTCAGGAGCTACCGCAGTGGCATGCTACCGTGTTGCACAGCGATGGAAGATCTGCTTTCCTGCCCGATTATCGCGCAGCCAAGGACCGATTGCACGAGTTCTTGATTTCGCATGTTGATAACACAAACAAGATTAGCAGAGCGGAGCAGCTAGAGGCGTTCGACAACATCGCCATTGCGAGGCCGAAGGTTGACAAGATGCTGGGCAAGTATGATGCCGTTTTGGTACCTAGCGTCGTTGATGAAGCCCCGGAAGGAACCTCGAGCACCGGAAGCGCAGCTTTCAACGCTCCCTGGACAGTAAGTTTCTCCCGGAATCATTGTGTCGGATGGTCATTGCTGACGAGAGCGATAGGCGCTGCACGTTCCCGTCGTCAACATTCCTGGTTTCAAGGGTCCGAACGGGATGCCGGTTGGCGTCTCTCTTGTAGCTCCTAGGTACCATGACCGTCATCTCCTAGTGGTTTCCAAGGCGGTTGGCGAGATCTTCGCGGCGGAGGGAGGCTGGAAATCTGCTTTGTAAATCATGAGCCATAAGGCAATTATGAAGCTTCAGAGAGCGTCTTCTTCACATTATGTTTGGCAAGCTTCGATTGAGCCGCATAGCATATGCCAGTTGTTGTAGCGAAGGCTTGTAGACTGCGATTTAGATATTTATCTAAAGTATTTCATAATTCTGACTTATATCTACAAGCTGCAAGGGGCATGAGTAGGCTTAACACATCTCGGTTTTCAGAGCACTGGCAAACCGCTGTAAAGCCTCATCCAACTCATCCACAGGCGCAGCTGCGAAGGTCAGTCGAAAGTTGACGTCCTTTAGTGTCTGAATATCGGCGATGAACCAACTTCCTTTGCTGACGAGAACTCCATTGTTGTGAGCCTTCTGATAAATCCTGTCCCCAACAGCAAGATAGTGAGCCACATCGTCATCTCCGTGGCTGCCCATGCGTGTTTGACGATGTTCGGAAATGTTCACCTTTATCCACAAAAACATGCCTTCCGTCGGGGCCGTCCACTCGCAGATCTGGGAGGGAAGAAAGCGCTCACATGATTTCAGCAGATTATCGCGCCGGCAACGATACTGCAGCGATAGTGACCTTAGCCAATTGAAGAAACCGTCGTGGCCCCAGGTCTCGTCCAGAAGTTTATACAACATGACTTGCGACGGTCCGCTGGGGCATAATTCACCGATTTCGGAGTATGACACGAACTTCTGAATGACCTGAGAGCTTCCGGTGACCCAACCACATCTCAGACCCGGAGCGAGAATCTTGGATGTTGTGTCCATGCGAAGAACGCGGCAAGACACGTCAAGTGAAAGATACGAAAGTGGGAGACTCTTGTAAAACTCTTCATTTGCGTTTATCTTGTCGACTTGTGGGGGCGCCAATGCGTGTTCCTGTTTTCCCAGTTGAAGGAAGCAGTATGGATCATCCTCGAGTATGTAAAGGTCATGTCGCTCTGCAACGGCATAAACCTGTTTTCGGCGAATCAAGCTTTGTGTAGTTGACGTAGGGTTCTGTCCAGTCGGGACCATGTACAAGACAGATGGCTTCGAACCATTTTTGTAGTCCCATGTCCGAAGTCTGTTGTCAAGATCGTCTGGAAAGAGGCCCAAATCGTCCATTTCGATGCCAAGTATATGTAGACCCTGGGCACGGGCGCAAGTCATGGCCCCGGAATAAGTGTAGCGTTCGGTGAGAATAGTGTCTCCAGGGTTGCAAAACATGCGGAACGCAATCTCGATGGCCGACGTCGTACCGCAGGTCAAGGAACAGTCCCAATCCTCGTAAGGAGGCTTGTGAATCATTTGGATGTGTTCCGTCACAAATCTCAGCGCCTGAGGTGATCCTGCGGAGAACCCGTAGTTCATTCCCACACCTAGATCGTATGCCTGCTCAAGCTTGACTGAAGCCATTGCCATCGTTGGCGCAGGCTGTCCTTGCTCGGTAACGGCATCTTGAAGGCAATGAAGTGACAAGGACTCCCACGGGAAATGTTCTGGAGCGGGGCGCGCTGTGCCTAAGCTTATCAGCCTTTTCTTTCCGTTGGCTCGTGAGGCGCTTTTGAGAGGCGAAGGCTTCAATTGTGGCTTTCTTTGCTCAGTAGATGATCCCAGCGCCGGGCTCTTGGCTTCATTCCATGTTCACGGCTCTTGAAGAAGGCAGAGCAAGTATATGGAGCGATACCAGATGGTAGAGGTTCTCGAACCGAGCGGTTCTGTTGCAGTCTGATAATATCATCGCTGAAAGTCATATTGAAGGTCAATTATTTAGGTAAATATGTTGGAAGCTTGAGATATTAGATTTCCATGTCACAATGAAAGGTTGAGATCCAGGCTTATCATATACGCCAACCACATGAATCATGGCATAGTACAACACAATCGGACAGGTGTTGTTCAGACTCGGAGAGGGTCAGATCAGTCAGAGACTCCGGTCCGATTGAATTAGTAAAGCAGTATTGGGTCGCCGAGAAATGCTTGTTCAATCCGGGAGAACCACACACCCCTCCACCCCGATCTAAGTGAGTACTAATTGGAGTCCTGAAGTCGCAATGTCCTAACTCACCACGCAATTAATGGTAGGGTTGCCGGAGCCGCAATCCTCGCCCAAATTGTTTACGATATCCAGTTCTCTGCCCCGAAGAAGGAAAATGATTGCGAGCATCTTGTTCGCTCCGACCAGTCTATTGGTGTACGAATGACTTCGACAACCTTCTTCTTGGGGTCGGAGTGGGGCTTTGTCCGACACGGCACAGATTCGGAACGGAGTAGAAGGATGGAGCCGGAAGAGGCATGCTAAGGTACTTCTCGGCAGGGGAGGACTGCCTCTTGATACATAAGAGCGGAAGACTGGTCAATTACGGGGCATAGTTACATGTTTATGGCCTTCACATTGATTCGACCGCGAATCGGCCTGACTGTGTTTACAGATGGTGGGCTTCTCAAGACATCAGTGACAGTTCCAGGCTGCCCACAGAGAACGAAGTAAAGCGACTGATCGAGACACAACGACAAAAGGACTCTATAGTAGCAATACACAATTATATCCAGCGATGACCTGAAAGTCGTACTCGATGGCCAACGGGGCTGCATCTTGCATCTGCCTTTGTCACCCCATCGTCGTCAAGCTCTCGCCATCACGAAAAGGTTAAAGTCCTCGTCAATTTGAGGCCTACACTAGGTACTGGCTAAACACATTAGGGTGATCCGCGAGGGTTTGCCAGAACGTCAGTTCAGAATCCCAAGCCTCCGATCCCAATATTTCCGCCCATGAATTGTGGTCCCTGGCCTGCCGAGGACTACTATTTGATAAACTGACGTCCAAACCACTCTTGTTCCTCCCATCGTCATTGAAGACCGAATCTAGAAAGCATCCAATAGTCTTAGCGGTTTTAGCCAACAAGGCATAGTTTGGATCCTGAAGTTTTACAATCCTTCCTCTCTCAATTTCTGCGACCAGTACGGTGAGATCTCGTAGTAGCTTTGCACGTGTCACAACCAAGACCGGGGCTTCCAGCTGGCTTGCCATTGCGAGGAGTACCATGCCAGCTGCGGGTAGCCCGTAGTGAGCAACCTTGACAATTATTCAGCATGACGAGTAATGGCACAATAGCTAAATGACTTACTTTCCAGCTGAGGTTGGTGCCCGAGTTCGCCAGTTCATCTCGCGTGAGGACTACATCAACCACCAAGCTAAGCATTTTCTGAGCTATTTCAACAACAGCACCGTCGGGCTCTGACTGGTGAGCTAAAGACAAACGCCGCAACAGGAGCTTTACATGTAGATGGTTGAGGCATATGCTGAACAAAAAGTCACGTTCGAAAGGGGTGGCGTGATTTGGTGGCCGTTGCTCAATACGAAGTCTATCAGGAAGCGCACGCCACTGCTCGTCGGCTGATTCCTCAAGTTGACTTCGACCTTTAGCTCCCATGGACGAATGTCTCGTTACCTAGTCTGATCAAACTTACAGAATCTTGGCTCCGTGATCCCCGCGACCGTGGTCAAACAGAAGCTCCATGATTTCTTCCTTGATCGACGCACACAATGCTGACCAGCGTGTCTCTGACCTGTAATCCATGGCTGAATCCGGCAGCCAGTCAACTAAGCTAGGCTGATTATCGGATGGCAAAGGTTCCGCGGGTGGAGGGGTATCCGGTAAATGGAAATGACAGAACCGTTTACTCATGCGTAATGGTCTGCCGAGAAACAGGGAGACATTCTTGTCCGCGGAATAAACCCGGGCGAACGCCATCTTGCGCATTTGCACGAGGAAATATGGCGTGTCCAGCTTGTTGTCCATTTTCTCATGATATCCCAACGCGAAGGTAGACGAGATAACGTCACCCAAGCTCCGCCACAAGTTATAACCTATTTGACTCGTGAGCAGACAAGTCCCCAAGGCCAGGAGGCACCACTTACTCTGATCACCGTCAACGTAAGAGTGAACTATGCAACGTTCATACTGTAAGAATAGTTGTAGGTCATTGAGACAATCTAAAGACAAGCAAACTTCCAGTACGCGTCCAATTTGACGCATCAGCATGACACAGAAGTCATGTTTCTGTACTGACGAGGTGAACAGAGAGGGAAAGAAGGGTACGTCAATCGAGGCCCTCAAAACAGCACAAAGAAATATGCCGATCGTTTCCCATCGAGTATGTATGTGAGTAAACTGAGCAACGTAGTCGGAGAACTCGGTACTAATATCATATTTGAGCGGACATGCTGTGTTCTCTCCCAGCTTCTGGGCAAGGACGTTGTGCCAGGTCTCCCCTTGGAAGGTAGATAGCGAAGAGCAATCTGCACTCTCACAGCATAACTCCACAAATGGACCGGCGAGAGCCAGGTTCGCGCCTCTTGCCCGCCAAAACGAGACAAGGCTCTTCATGTCGCGCAAATTGTATCCGTGCAGAATTCGCTTTAAACACTCAGCGCCCTGTTTTGCTTGCTGGGATTCAAACGCCATGAGCCTCAGCCGCCGGCCAGGGTTTGTTAGCGAGTTGAGCCCAGGCCCTACGGTTTCCTCATTATCATCATGTTGTTTGCGAATTTGATCGAAAATGGCAACATGACTTGACTGTCCAAGGTAACTTAGTTTGGGGTACGGATGTCCGTGAGCTGTCGGACTGAAAGACAGAGAAGGCTCTCGTGCACTATGGTCCCCGAGTAAGTTACGTGTAAGCTTGTTTCATCTGTATAGGCTTAAATTATGATTGTGTAGATAGATGTGGTTCATACGGAGAGACTGTTTCGACAGCAGGTAAGTAGGCGCCTGGTGGCTGTTTTCTTTTGAAAGGGAATGCTCTGTAAACGCATAAACCGGCTCTGTCCTGCTGTCTGCATCGGAGACAAGTGGGTCGTTCGTGACCGCATGCAAGCTTTGACTTCCTGCAGGGCTCACAAGCGGCCTGTCTCAAACTCATCGCTGGGTGAGTCTCTGATTAGGATTCAACCGCTGGACACAATGAACGTTGCTTAGCAGCGAAAAGTCGTATGTGGTCAGGTCGGTGTAGCGGAGAAACTTTGATCGAAAGACGATAAGGAGAGAAAAATAGGCCCCGGAGTGGCGTGCTAGGACCGGAGAGAAATCTCAGGATCGGAGAAAGATCATATCGGATCGGACACCGGAGTGACCGGGGTACCAAAACCTCGGCGTGTCGGGGGAGTCTGGGCCGGGCCTGACCGAGCGAACGATGCAATGCACAACTCAGAACGAATACTGATATTCGTAGCTATTAATGAGTATGATGTGATTTCGATTGGGGACGAATCATGTATTTATTTGAACTGAACGGAGATGCTATGTTGGTGTTTCGCTGCTCAGTATTGCCAAACTCACTTTCTGTTCCCAAGATTGCCCGCGACGACCGCAACACAACTCAGAGTCGCCATGTCTGCTTCAACCACCGTCGCCATGTACCTGTTTACTCGACTGAGGCAACTCGGTGTCGGTGCCATCCACGGCGTGCCCGTCGACTACAACTTGGATCTACTGGACTACGTGAAGCCATCAGGACTCACCTGGGTTGGCAACGCGAATGAGCTTAACGCGGCTTATGCGGCAGACGGATATGCGAGAATCAAAGGCATTGGCGCTGTTATTACGACATTTGGTGTTGGCGAGCTTTCTGCGGTAAACGCCATCGCCGGTGCCTATGCAGAACTTTCCCCTGTTGTTCACATCGTTGGAACCCCGTCAAGAGCATCTCAAGATGCACGGGTGCTCATCCATCACACCTTTGCTGATGGCGAGTATGGTAGGTTCGCAAAGATGCAGGAGTACGTCACTGTGGCACAAACATCACTATGAGACATTCGGACAGCACCTCAGCAGATTGATGCTGTGTTACAACAGTGTATTCTGCACAGTCGCCCTGTTTACATCCAGATCCCCACGGATCTTGTGGCTGTTCGCGTACTTGCCATTGAGCTGCAAACGCCTCTGAGTAGCGCAGCTGTCGAACTAAACAGCAATCCCGAAAGGGACGCAGTATTGGAGAAAATCCTCGAGAGATTCTACGAGGCTGAGAGACCAGTCATCATTGCCGACGGCGAATGTAGGCCATTGGGAATCGTCAATAACGTCCAGGCCCTCATTGATATAACTGGCTGGCCAACTTGGACGACAAATTTTGGCAAAGGGCTCTTCAATGAAACGAGATCAAACTTCCACGGTATCTACAAAGGAGACTTTTCTGAGCAACCTGTCAAGGAAGCTATCCAGGGCGCAGATCTAGTCCTCTTCTTTGGGCCACATTTAAGTTCGAGCAATACGTATGGCTTTAGCACTTTTTCGAATCTCGAGTCATGCATCTTCATCAAGGGAACCAAGGTGGAACTTGGCTCTGGCGTCTTTCGCGATGTCTCAGCGTTGTTTGTCACATCCGAGCTGGTCCGCAACATCGACGTTAACAGGATCGCCAAGTATGATCCGTATCCTCTTCTCCACCGAGATTCCCACTTGCCATTGGATGCACTGGCGGGCGACTCTGGCTCAATCTACCAGGACAGGCTGTGGCGCTCTCTGGCCAATATCCTTCGCCCCGGAGACATTGTACTGGGAGAGACTGGCACTGCAGGCTATGGTGTACGGGACATGCACTTGCCGCCACATACGAGACTTTTCGCTCCTGCTACGTGGCTCTCCATTGGGTTTATGCTGCCAGCTGCTCAAGGTGCAGCGCTTGCTCAGCGGGAAATGGTGAATGATTCGAGGTATCATGGTCTGAAACAAGGCCAAGCTCGTACGATACTCTTCATCGGCGATGGGAGCTTCCAGATGACGGCTCAGGAGCTGGCAACTATCATACGCCACAATCTTGATGTTGTGATCTTCTTGATCAACAACGATGGGTACACCATTGAGAGATGTATTCATGGCCGCAAACAAGAGTACAACGACATATCTACCTGGCGGTATCTCCAGGCCCCTCACTTCTTTGGTGCTAGTGAAGACACCTATACGGCTGCATGTCGGACTTGGGCGGAATTGCATGAGGTTCTAGGCAACAAAGAGCTGAATTTCGGCAGAGGACTCAGAATGGTTGAGGTTTTCATGGGACGTGAGGATGCACCAAAGGGGCCACTTCTACGGTACTTAGAAACACAGAGGGAAAAGGAGACATTGGCATGAGGTAGAAGGCAAAAGCGGAGGGAATATAGGAAGCGATAAAATTCTAAATATTGTCAGAATGACCTGGAGTGAAAACGGCTGTCACATTCATCATGGAGGTATTATGGTGTCTGGTTGGTGGGACGACGTCAGTCCATCCATCTCCGATCTTTCTCCAGATTTCCTCTTGATATTATCTTATAGCCTGTCATGAGCTATCACTCCACATGAGCATATACCGACGCCATTTCGCGCCCGATGGAGTTCTACCTTCCAACGTCACAGGCCTAATTTACAAAAGCGAAACCGAGCAGAGCTATACCTGGAAATCATAAGTATGGCGGAGATCAGGCGGATTTTCTTTGCAGGCGGGTGTATTTCCAATCTAGTTCTCGTGACTAGTGGCTCATAGAATCACAGCCAAGTCTCGAATCTCCGATCTCCGCATCTCAGGTAGCCACCCATCAATTACCTGGAGGATGTTAATTGCAAGTTCTCTGTCAGCCACGGAGTTTGATGTAGTGAATCCTCAAATGCTTATCAAATACTTTGAGCTTCTCAAACTTTGAATATCCCTGTTTGGAAGATGGTGCCGCGAGAAGGCATGATAGTCAAGATCGTGAGAAATTCATATAAGAGCTTGCGCGTCCGAGGGATTGATCAGTAGTATTTAATTACCATGTATCAACACTCCATTGAGGAAAGCTCAATCATGTCTTCCCTCCCAATTACACAGAGGGCAGCAATGCTTGAGCAGCACGGCAAGCCTCTCGTCATTATTGAAGACAGACCCATCCCAGAAGCCATTCCTGGCAGTATTGTCGTCAAAGTCCTCGCCACACCATTATCACGCTACGCAAGAACCGCATTTGATGGTACAATTCCTGCTCCCACTCTCGACCCGCCCTTTGTCCCATGCCCAAGAACTCTCGGTTATGTGCACAAAATTGGCAGTGGCACAACATCCTTCAAGGAGGGGGACTTGGTGCATGTCGAGCCTGTAATCATGGCTCGCGATGATCCAAACGTATTCATCATGCAGGGCCACATCAAGGGGCCGCCTGGCGACAAGACAGACAGATTGGCCGAAGGAGAGTTTCGCGACGGTGCTCTTCAACAGTATCAACGTGTTCCGCTCGAGAACATCTATCGTATAGACGAGACACTCGTCCGAAAGCTAGGCGTCGACCTGATCAACCTCGTCTCTATTAGCACGTTTTCTCCAGCCGCCGGTGCCCTATTTGAGTCAGCGAAGCTCAGGTTCGGCGACACAATCATCATTGGACCATCGGGCGGAACGTTTGGTGGAAGCGCTGTTGAGCTGGCCCTAGCGGTCGGGGCAAACGTCGTTGCCCTGGGACGAAACGCGGAATTGTTGCAAACCATGGAGCAGAGCTTAAAGTCTTCTCGGCTTAGTGCCGTTCTCATGACGGGCGACGTCGAAACTGATGCCGCTGCCATTCTCGCGGCCACACCTGGAGGTGTCGCCGTCGCTCCCTTTCTACCATCGGCTATTCGCGCGCTCAAACCCGGCGGGCGAATCGTAGTCAGCGGTGGAGCTTACGGCTGCTTGGAGGTTCCGTACATATCGATGGTGTTCAAAAGGCTGTCGGTCAAAGGGTCCTTCATGTGCAATCGCGACTCTATGATAAGGCTGATCCACATGATCGAATCAGGACAGCTCGACATTAGCACTGGAAGTGGTACTCAGGCTCGAAAGTTTGGGCTCGACTAGATTGAAAAGGCCATCACAATCACTGAGGAAACAACTCGGTGGAGGAGCCACACTGTTGTCACTCCTAACCAAGCAGACAAACAGCTTGATGAGTCTTAGAAAAAGCTTCCCAGCATTGAGTAAAACAGGACAATCGCTTATTCATGCAAATGGCCACCATGTCCTAAGAAGAGTTATGGTAGCAATTCTTATACAAAGAGAAGGCCAAGAGAGAAACATTTCCTCACTGATTTGCTTTAGTACTTGTATTATTGTGCATCAGCCACTTCCCCATGCTCACCTTTCAGCCACCAGGTAATTATAGCGCTACATGTCCCAAGTTCTAGCATCCAAGGATGCACTGCAACGCTGCTGCCTGATTGGGCAATCTTACATCTCCAAGTCCTCACTTTTGTCCTTCAAACTCATTCCAACCTTCCTATCGCCTATTCATCCTCAATACTCCCAAATCACAGAGATTTCAAATGAGAGAATGCCACTTACTACAATGGCGAGACCAAACGAAATAGACGAACCCTTCTCAAAGCTGGTCCTGGACCCCTCATCACCACCTCTCCCACTCCTCACCAAACCCAAAAAGTCAACCCTCCGCAACCTCTTCACCCTCAAATCCCCTCCACCTCTCCAAACAACTCCCCTCCCCTACAACCCCCTCAGGCAAAACGAAATCCGCCTCGTAAACCTCCATGCAGGACCTCCCTCAACCCCAATAACCCTCACAACCGAACCAATTCCCCTCTCATCAGCAGAATACACAGCCCTCTCCTACGTCTGGGGCGACCCGTCCGACACCCTCCCCCTCCACGTCGATAACCACCTCTTCCACGCTACGGAAAACCTCCACTCCGCCCTCCAGCACATTCGTCTCTTCCTGAAGCCGTCGCAGCTAGTCCCGCTATGGATCGACGCAATCTCGATAAATCAGGCAGATACCGCAGAGCGGAGCCAGCAAGTCTCGCAGATGCGGCAGATTTATACTTCAGCGGATTTAGTCTTGACCTGGCTCGGCCCAGATCTCGCACCGGGGCTGACGTACCTCCGCGAATTGGGCGACCACGCCCTCGCCGTCTCTCAGAATCGTATAGAACCGCCGAAACTTCTTCCCAGCCACGTTAAAGACCGGTATACCACCATCCGGGAGACTGTAAAAGTCTTTCAGTGTACTTACTGGAACCGAGTCTGGACAGTACAGGAGTACACCGCTCCCACCGACCTCGGGGTCTTCCTCTCCGGCACGGCGTGGGTAGATCGCACTGCCTTCCTACCCGCCACCATCCTCTATACGCAAGCACTGCACTGGCTTAGAGATGGCTTGCGGAGGCGGGGCGCGGATGCCTCGTTTGTGGACGCGACGCTCGCGAGGGTGAAGAAGGTTGTTCATGATCTCAAGATGAGCTATGCGCGGATGGCGGCTTCCAACGAAAGGGATGGATCGTCCGATGGGGTGAAAATCTCTTCTGAAGCAGGGCTGACCCGGCGGGTCGGATCAAGGCACGAGGAAATTCCAACGGTCCGCAGATTTAATCTCATCAGCCTGCTGTTACGGTTCCGCGATCTTCAGGCGACAGACCCACGAGACCGCATCTATGCACCCTTGAACCTCCTTGATAACGATATTGGGAAAGATCGCCATATTCTCGTGGATTACTCCCTCACTGTCCAACAACTCTACATATCCGTCGCCAAGTGCCTCCTAGAAGATGAAGATTACTGGCCTCTAAGCATCCTCGAAATCTGCCGCTTGGGGTCATCCGATCTACCGTCGTGGGTTCCAGACTGGCAAGTCCTTTCAAGAAAAGTACTTTCGAGGGACGTCACCACAGGAGAGCAGATTCTCTGCGCGAGCAAGGGATACCCCGTTGACACAAAGCTGTGGAGGGTGTTGGGCGACAATCAGTTGCAGATAACAGCTGTGCAGGTTGATGTTGTCGTGGAAGCATTGGAGGCATTCGATGCGCTAAGCGTGCCTCGAACAAAGTCCTATCCGACGTACACTCTCAAGAATCCCTTTGAGAAGTACGTGATCGGAGGGCAAACAGTGCTGGAGGCCTTCAACGGACTAGCAGGCATCGTACCCAGATCCGAAGATGGTGAAGAGGTGGAAATTTACCGCCAAGAGGATTGGCATCGCAACCCAGGCATGATGAGCCGCTTCAATCGCCGCCGTTTGATCCGGACTGAAAACGGCCTTGCTGGCCTTGCTCCGGCTGAAGCTGTGCAAGGCGACAAGATCTGGCTTGTCCCCGGTGCGAACATGTTTTACATCTTCAGACCTCTAGCAGACGACGGAAGTCATGCGCTCATCGGTGAGCTTTACCTTCAAGGTCTCATGCATGGAGAGGCACAGGAGTTCCTAGGCGATGCTGGAACGCAAACTGTCATTACACTCATTTAGGGTATAACATCTATCATGAAAAGGACCGACCAAATATCTACAAACTTTTTCCATTCCCGCAACAGACGTGCAGCAGTAACAGGAATGTTCACCACGACTTATCATTAACCACTCTTCTCCTTCCATCGTCCTCAATCAACGACTCAAGCCCACTTGCCGAGCACACTCATAATGATCATGCCGGCGATGAGACCGAAGAAAGCAAGGGTTGTAACGATCGGGCCAGTGCTCAGGAGCTCTGCGCCAGGCAGCATCCAGTCCTCTGCCCACATCTCCACAACACCAACCCAGACGAGGATGCCGGCGGAGAGCGCGTCAAGAGTACCGATGGCGATGATGGTGTCGCCATCGTTGCCATTGAACTGAGAGAGAACGCCAATTCCAATGGCCATTCCGATGGGCGTGACGAGCGCAAAGGGAGAAGCGAGGATGAGCTTCTTGACGAGGGAGAAACTGGGCTTCTTCAGGGAGTTCAGGCTGCCCTCGGCAGAGGGGGTTTGCTCGACTTCGGCAGGCGCACTCGGGGCAGGACGCTCTGCCATTTCAGCCGGGGTCGGTTGACCGAGCTGGGCGATGCGAGTGCCTAGTGCGATACCCTCAAACATCTGATGGAATAGAATGACAACAAAGAGGGTCAGGAAGAAGGTGTCACCAGCTACAACAAGGGTGATGCCAATCACTGTTTGTTTCTTTGTTAGTGCGCTACAGTGAGGGGGTGCTCGGAAAGGGCAACGTACAGATAGAGTGAAAGATGATGCCGCACTCAAGGACCAAGACAGTGACTGTCTCGGGAGAGAAACGGGTCATTGCACCAGGATTGGCGGCCATCTTTGCCAAGACCATGCGCTTTCCGATGTACTCAACCAGGAAAGACAGGAAGATACCAGCCATGACAATGGCAGAGGTGGTTCCCTCGTAGCCAAGACTGCCCAGGCACTCATTGCCAAACATGAGCTGGGCGTGGGTGTACAGATGGATGAAGGCGGTGGAGATGATGATACCTGTGCCGAACTGCTTGAGAATAAGGAAGATGGTGTGCGTCTTAGTGGGCATCCACTTGATCATGAAGATGGGGAAGTAGACTCCGAAAGCGCTAGTGACCAGGATCACAAAGAGGAGACCAACACGCAGAGGAATGTTATAGTCGCGCGTGACCTTTTCGCAGCTTCTCGTGCCGCTGCTACTCTCGCTCTCGCCTGCGCCGACGCAATGCTCGACACCGGCGTGGAAGTGGCAGTTTTCGCCCTGAGGTTCTTCTCCGCTAGTGTGGTCGTGGTCGGAAGACTCAGCACCCTCGGCAACAATCGCGACATCGTCTCCGTTAGGGGCGAGACAATAAGTATCAGTGCCATGAGCATGACAATCAGTGAAGGTCGTCGGTATCGCTGAGGCGGCAGTGTTGGTAGGCGTCGTCATGACCTGGTATTCCGTAGTACCCCACATGCAGAAGCTGAGAAGTTCGTTAGCAAAGATTACTACCAAATAGAGGGAAGCACTTACACCGTGACTCCGTGAAGGTGGCAGTCAGAGACTGCCGTTGGCGCGCCTGTTGCAGCGATAGCAGCAGTCGTCGAAGCAGCGGTGGCAGCCGGCGCATTGGCGGCCACGACTTCCACCTCGCCATCCGGATAGAAGCAGTACCTAGTTTCAAGAGTGTTAGACTCAGTGACCAATATGATATTGAGTGAGCTTACAGGTCAGTAGCATGCTTGTGGCATCCAGTGTACGAACTGGGCAGGGAGCCAGTAGGGGTAGCCACAACTGTGAACTCTGTCGTTCCAGCTTTGCAGATCCTGAAGTGAACGATGTATGAGTAGCTGTTTGATGGCTCGAAAGTGAAGAATCAGCTGAGGGGTCTTACTGAGTAGACGAGGCAACGGAACAATGAGAGATGGCCGTGGGATCAGACCCAGCAGCCGTGGTGGTGGTGCTAGCAGCCGTCTGCCGTGCGACAAGAGAGGCTGATGTAGGACTCAAAAGAGCCGCAACGGCGGCAGCAGGAGTGAACCTGACCATGACGTCTGATTCTAGACGTTGAAGAAGCTGCCAGTGATGAGGTGCAAGCGAGCCTGGGCCTTGTCTGTGCTGAGATGGGCCGTGGACAGGGCTGAATTTCTCCGGACGAAATCCAAGACAGGATGGTGTTGCAGAAAGCGTCAAGCTGCGGCTTATCGACAGGGTGGCTCTCGTCTGGTTGTTTTATGGAAGAGAATTTGTTGTCGAGGTGGCGAGTCTGAAGCACGACCTGTCAGGCGAGGTGATGAGAGTGAGCACCTTGAGAGAAGGTGAGAAAGTCAATTCGCCGAGCCGGTATGTCTGGCCGGTGTAGTCCCTTCGGGTGATGGGATGGCGAATTAGGGCGCGGACGAGGAAAGAGGAAGTCTCTGCAGCGGGAGAACTTCTCGAGAGGGACAAGATGCCAGGGAGGCTGGAGAAAGAGAGGCAAATACCAGGCGTAGGGTGTTGCAAGTTGCGAGGTAAGCATGCGCAGGCTCGATTGAGGAGGGAAAAGAGTACACCAGATGGCAGATGCGTTGCGGCGGAGGGGATCCCTGCTAGTTGGCCATGTGGGATATGCGCGGATATGCCATCCATTGTTCTGGTTCTTCGGGTTCCCCCTCCTAGGCGGATTGCTCTCTTCTCCCCTAACGCAACAAAGTAATAGCTCCCGAGCATTCATTGCCAGGTTCTTTTGCATGTCTCCACGACCCAGGCTTGTCTTTCATTGTCTTGGCCTTCGGCCGCGGCGGCTGATCCTGTCCTCGTCGAATGACTTTGAGGGTGGTTCCCCGTGGGCATGGCATCGTAGCTGGATGCAGCTTGCTGCGCGCCAATGACGACCAAGGCAATTTGTTCAGCCCACATTCGTAGCATACCTTATGCCACAGTCAGATCGATATGGCGTCCGCTGGGATGAGAGCCACCGTCGCAGCCCGAGGGAAACACGGAAACGTGAGCATCACAGGCCCCTGTCGTCCAAAGTAAGTGGACCGATGGAGTTTGTCTACACAGTAGCGAAAAAGCGGGAAACCAAAAAGAGACGAAAAAAAAAAGCATAAGACGACGCGGTCTGTTTGCCAAGGCTGAGAGACCCATCGCCAAGGCTGAGCACCCGGATGGCCAGCCATGGGGCAGGAAAGGGAAGGAAGGGTAAGGCAGCAGCTGGCGAGATGGGAAGCAACGCTGATGGAGAAGCCAAGACAGGAAGTCACGATGTCCAGTGGGTGTTTCCTGCTGTTGTCTCTGAGGACCTGCTCTGATTGGGCACAGATCAGCCGGGGGGGGGGGGGTTCAACGTCGGGTCCACATGGCTCTTTTCGCCCGGTACGTACCTCCCGCCCCCATGTCCCCCCCCCCCCCCCCCCCCCCACATGCACGTCAAAATAAGAACCTTGATGGCCTCTCGCAACGTCCCTCCTGTGCTTCTCACTTCTCCCTCTCACTCACTCACTCACTCACAGTCTCATCACACTCACGCACAAACTCACACCTAACTGTGGTTCAGCTTCCCCTCCGACCTTGATGGTTATAAGTGGCGACGCCTGCATGCCAAGGCTCCTATAAAGTAGACCGGTCGACCAACCTCCATCACAATGAGGCCTTTTCGTGGTTTTCTGCTCTAGCTAAGGGTCCTCGGAGCTTCTCGAATTCAGCTCCTCATACCGCCCGTCAAAGTCCCACGCCAAGCTTGCCTTACTGTAGGGCCCATAGGATCGTACTTTGGAGGATTCACTGTCGGCTGGCACTTTTGCGCCCTCGTCCAGCCGATCTCACGTGTTGGGCGTATGAAAACCTCTGTATGACACATGGTGTTCCCTCCGGTGAGGGTCTATTGATGCCGGATGAGACAATTATGGCCAGCAATACTCGAGCAATGAGGCTAGGCCCGAAGCAAGGTCGCAATCCTGGCTGGGTGGTAAAGGCGATAACTCCAGGCCGTTTCGTGATGGAGCCAGCCACACCATGCTCAGTGAAGTCACTATCACTCCTGGAACGCACCTATGCATAGAACAACGGCTGAAGATCCTCAACAGTGACGTGACGAGCAGCATGCCCAGTACATGCATGATTGCAGATTTTAACTTCCCGCTGTCTGATGTCAAACCAGCCTGTCGGATCTGTCTCTACGCCCGTGCCTGAGCTTTTATGATGAAACGGGCGCAATGCCAGAGACCGAAATCCATTTTAGGGCAGGGGCAGGTGTCTAGTGGCTGATGATCATGGTCACGAAGTACGAAAGACATCCATTTTGTGAACGTGTGTTTTGATCTATGCTACAATTAAAGCCCATCTCCATTTGAAGTGGAACGGAAGAAAAATTGCCCTCAGGCGGCCCAGCTTCTCGGCGTGTCCTACGCCGCCGTGCTGTCAAGCTGACAGTTGTATGTTCATGAATTCCAATTCGTGTATCCGTAAAATCCCTCGAGTCTTTGATGCGAGGCACATAACCCATTTGCTCATAAATGAACCCCTTACAAAGCCATGACCGCAACAGCGATGGCAGCAGCACCAAAACCAGCGCGAGCAGCTCCGGCAGGAACGGCAGTAGAGCTGGGAGAAGCGCTGCCAGCCGCGGTGGTACCGGCGGCGCCAGTAGTGGCCGCAGCAGTGGTGGTGACGGCAGCGGATCCCGTGCTCGTGGCAGATCCCGTGCCGGAGGCGGCGGTGGCAGCAGCATCGCAGTGCCTATTTCATGGGTCAGATCGTTTTCAAGCCGCAAGGAGCCAAGTATATTTTAAGCTTACCAGTGATCGCCGTGGGGCTCACAGCCGACAGACTCAGTGGGAGAAGGAGCAAGACTGCCGGTGCCGGAAGAGTGATCATCATCGTGGTCGTGGTCGTGGTCCTCAGTGGCGGTCGTGGTCGCGGCAGCAACGCTTGTGAGGAGGGTGGTTCCGCTGACTGCTGCGGCAGTGGTGGCGCGCGCGCCCTCGCAATGCCTGAAGGTGAATGTGAGAATGGCTTATTGTTTTTTAAAGCGGAAGTAGAAATTCAAATTTACCAGTGGTCACCGTGAGGCTCGCAGCCAACGCTCTCCGTAGGTGAGGGAGCCAGGCTCTCGCTCTGGGCAAAAGCAAAGGCGGCAAAGCCGAGCATGGAGAGAATCTGAGAGGACTTCATGTCGATAGTTTTGGGTGGCTGTCTAGCGACCTTTGGTATGGATTCGGGCGAAAGAGGACGAAAGTTTGTCAATTACAAACGAGTGTACGCAGGCACAGGCGTGAAGATGGTGAAAGTATGAAAAGGCTGTAACGATGTGAAATTTATAAACACAATAGTTATTGTATTCAGGTGAATAAGCTCCATATATCAATTGCCAAGACGAATCGCCCCAGACGCGGAGGAAAACATCAAGGTAGGTAACTCCTAGCGAACCTTGGCGCCGAAGAAACTCAACCACGAAAATTGATTGATCCTTCCAAGGCGTTGGTTGGTTATGTTGCTGTTTGCGACTCAACTCAGCCAGGCCAGCTCGCCAAGAAACTACGCAAGTCAGGTTATCCGCGAGGGCTATCACAACGTGCTCATCTCTCCCTTTCAACTTGGCATATGCCCAACATGCCCAGTTCTGTTTACCGTCAATCGGCCTTTCAAGGATCACCTCGCCATCCTCGGTACCACAAGTTTCATTCAAAGGATTGGTTGGGACATGTTTTGTGCTCGTAATGCCGCACCCATGTCAGTTCCGCGTTTGCCCAGGCGCGAAGAGGCGGGCCGGGCCATCAAGGTCCTCAGACTCGAATCCCTCGACTTGGGACATCATTTTCATCACCCCATCGAGGGTTTCTTCGGAAGCCGCAACAAGTGAGAACCCATGAAGGTGGTAAGCTTTCTTTTGCAATTGGTTATTAAGTTGCTTCTGACTGGCTATTCATCATAGGAGCTTTTGCCGTTTTCGATCTTTCATGGTTGCAATCGATCCCATATATCATGCTACTCAGCTAACGCCCCTCCTCTTTGCCCGAATCCCTGAGTCCTTTTGCATCATTGCCAAGAGTTCAAAAGAGCCTCCTCCATTCGGCTATGCGGTATTCTCTAGAGTCTCAACGACAACAACTGTGTTGGGACGGGGTTCTGTTCACGTGCTGGGCTACCAGCAAGTCTTTGATGGAACCATCAAGCTCACACTCGTCAACTTCTCAACCTTGCACCATACGCTTTCTGTCTTTCCTGGCAACAAGAAGCCAACTGAGTAGGATCGAGCAAATACCAACCACGAGTACCGACAAGTTGACCGCATATGAGATTCGATATCTGGGGCCGAACACAGTGCTGAAGACGTGTGGACCCACGATGCCACTGCGTTATTTCGTTAACAGGATGATGGTCACTCGACGATGGATCTTTTTGAACATACCCGAACTGAGCACATGCGTTCGTCAGGCCAATACCGATTCCAGATGCTACGGTTCCTTCAAGCGCTCTGATACGCTCCGGCCAGATTACCGGGTACGCGCACCCAGCACAGGCTACAGAGACGATCAGGCAGATATAGCGCACGACCGGGTTATCGACAAAGAGGAGAATGATGTAGCACACGATGATTGTTGATTCGACTGCGCCCGTTAGCTGTGTGCTGAGCCTGAATAACTCCTCAGGCGACTTACTCCCTACGGCGGCCACCCATGGCCTGATCCATTTTCTCTGAAGCATAAAGCCCAAGGTGTTGAGAAGCAAGAAGGCTGAGACATACGGGGGCTATACGGTTTCAGTCGGACTCCCTCGACATAATTAAGATCAGACGCGTGCTTACAATGTTCATCAACTGAGAATATGCCGTAGTCGTGAAGCCCAGCTGGTAGATGACAGTCGGCAAGGCAAACCCGACCCCGAACCCTCCGATGCCATGGCAGATCCAGTACAAGCTGAATGTGTAAAGAGTCGGGTCCCGGGCCATGGCCTTCAAAGACTTGAAGTCCCAACTCGCTTCTCCCTTGGGCACAGAGCTAGCAAGTCTCTGCTTCATGTACAACCGCTCCTCTTCAGTCAACATTTTGGCCGACTCTGGATAGTCGGGCAACCAAAACGCAAAGAACGCAAGGAATATAGCCGGCAGTCCTTCTAGAATGAACAGCCACCGCCACCCGGACACGTTGCCGAGCTGGTCCATATACGAGATGGCATAGGCCAGCAATCCAGACAGCGCACTGGAAACCTGTCCCACGGAGTAAAAGAAGGCGATACGCTGCGGCATCTCCTCGGGCTTGTACCAGAACGCGTAGTGATACAAGACCGATGGGAAGAAGCCCGCTTCAGCCATGCCGATCGCGAAGCGGACACACATCATGCCCGAGAAGTTGTTTGCCGCGGCGGAGCAGCACGCAGACACACCCCATGCCATGATTAAGATGAACATCCATCTCGAGGGCCTGAAAAGCTTCAGCAAGATCGTATTGGTGGGCTCAAAGATGAGATAGCTGTATGAGAAGATTGAAAGCGTCCAAGCCCATTGTGATGGGTTGAGTCCAAGCTGCTTCTTGATGCCGGTACCGGCCTCGAGGTTGATGATGGCGGCGTTGGAGTAATTCGCACTGTCGATGACTCGAAAGACGTAGACGAGGGAGTAGAAACCCACGAGCCAGAGGTCAATCTTTCTCAATAGTTTCTTCTCAAACTCGGGTCGGGCATTGCTTGTGTCGGTCTCAGGGTCGGATGCATCTAGGCTTTCTGTCTTGATCGTCTTTTCGGGGAAGGTTTGTACGTGTTCGGCAACGTAGGCCAATGTGTTGATCGGCTCTCTGGATGTTGCCATCTTTGATGTCGTCGCGTAGCACCGAAAAGAAGCAAGAAATCCATCGACACAACTCAAGACGAAGATGGCGTCTCTACAGCCAACCAGTACAAGTACTTTTTCGCTCAAGTTTCAATCCTAGTTCCTAAAAGCCACGGGCCACGGGCCACGAACCATCAATGACCGATGCCGGATATCTCCCCTGGTGTTCTCAACTTTGCACTCATCACGACATGATAACGAGGATGGCGATATGTGTATTCATCTAATCCTGATTGATGATTAAAGGCCTGTCTTTCTTCAATTTGATCCTGGATGATAAGTGCGGCAACAACATCTCTCGGACTATGTCCGACTTCCGGGTAATACTTCCCCGTCTTTTTCTATCATTCGAGCACGTCTTGATCGAACTTGTCTGGAGAATGATGATCTGGGGTAGTAATCGGGAGTGTCTGGTAATGTCGTTGGCTGATGATGACGAGCACGTTGTTGGGGTTCCCAAGCACGCCATGGCCGATCGTGTGTCGACCCCGCGTGGGCGCCAGTAAGCTATCAAGCATGGAATCCTGTGATAGACTTCTATAAGGCGCTGACGGAAGATTGAATCGACTCGAAAAAACAGTGTCTTCGTTATTTGTCTCGCATTATTTCGTTTAAATAGGCAACATACACCATGACTCCCTCTGCGGTATCACCACCACCCTCCAATACCGACAAGCTGCTTGTCAAGCCCTGGTCCCGGCCACAACCAACAAAAGAAGATCTAGACTGGGCGCCTCTCACCACTATCGATCTTTCACGGTTTGATGAGCCAGGTGGAAAGCAAGAACTAGCGAATCAACTCTACGATGCCATCTCGCGAGTTGGGTTCTGGGTTGTGACTGGCACCGGCATCGATGATGAGCGTGTCCTGCGCCAGTTCAGCATTGGAAACACCTTCTTCAAAGAGCCAATCGAAGAAAAGCGGACTTATCCATGCAACTTTGCCGAAGGCGAGTATTTTGGATACAGGGAGAACGAAAGATGGCTTGGAGATACGGGTGTGAAGGAGAACATTGAGATGGTAAGTCCGGCTGATCATCATTGAAACAATGGCTAACGAGTTATCAGCTTAATATCCACAAGGACATCCCAGCTTGGAAGGACGTCGGTCGTCATCGGGTTGTTGAAGAGAACTGGGATGAGATTCGAGACTTCCACCGCGACGTGTGGGAAGTCGCGCGAAAGCTCTTCGTTCTCATCGCCATCATCTTGGAGCTCCCAGAGGACTATCTCGCTGATGCGCATGCTTATGACCAAGTATCAGATGATCACTTGAGGTACATGATCTACAACGCACGAACTGAAGAGGAGTGGGACAAAGCGCAAGCCTTCTCGACGGGCGGACATACAGATTTCGGCAGCTTGACCCTCCTCTTTTCACAACATGTTGCAGGTCTGCAAATCAGGACGCCAGAGGGAGAATGGAAGTATGTCAAGCCCGTGGAGGGTGGTATCACATGCAACGCGGCAGACACTCTGACGTTCCTCACAAACGGTAAGTGTTATTTATGAACCATCCGCGTTGGGAGTTGTTCTAATCATGAGAAGGATTCATCAAGTCAACAATCCACCGAGTTGTAAAGCCTCCGAAAGACCAAATCGATATTCCCCGTCTGGGACTTCTGTACTTTAGTCGACCGGGGGATCATACGCCGATGAGAACTCTTCCATCACCTCTGCTAGATCGCCTTGGTCTGATCAGAGATGAAGACCGAGACTTGAGCAGGCCAGTTCCATCTGGAACGGAATATGTGCGGGCAAGAGTGAAAGATGTGCATCACAAGAAGGTGCTTGATAAGCGCGAAGGAACGTCGTTTCAGTACAAAGGGTTGGAAGTCAAGAACCATTATGACTGAGATGAATGTGAATTTAACTGCAATTAATTTCATTCTACGAACTTTGTGACTCGACACTTCACTATTCTGTGATGTGTTGAGTTCGTCGACTTGAGATGGCATAACTTTTCCTGCAAATGGTGCATTGCCCTCTAAATGGGGCACTAAATGCTTTGGCCTCGGCTTAACAACATCAGTGTCTACTTCGTAATGAGATACACAAAAGAGAAGGAGATGAGGCCAATGACCACAAGTTCTCTAACAAAGCTAAGTACCGTATCAAAACTATGCTATACCTACAAGCAGCTAGCTGCACCTCAGTTGAGATGATTCTACCAATCAACGCCTGTAGTCGGGATGACAGGCGTCCGCCACGATTAAGGGTATTGCGGACCAACACGCGCCCATTCAAGGTAATCAATAGGCATCACAAAGAGGGGTATGAAGGCTGATACGTTCTCAAGACGGTCACGGCGTTGAAATCATCCAAGCATCAACCCCAACTTCACCGTACGCAATGCCGGATTTCGACGATGACTGCGCCTGGCCGCGTCGGCTATTGCATGTACCTTCTATGACATCAGTGCAGTGGGCGGCTGGCGATTATTACGGAAACGATCGCGCGCCCAGATACATCGCTATCTCGTACACGTGGGGTAGATGGCGATTAAAGAGTGCGACACAACATCCAGACGTGAAAGGCCTCCCGGTCAAAGGCGTTACCTGGGAAATGCCACGAGTAGACCCAGATCATTTCACGATGGGTGAAATGGAGAATCTGTTGAGATCGGCTTTGAAACTCTCAGCGGAGGTCAGAGGTAACTGAAAATATGCAAAAGGGTAACCCTTGGCTCCGCAGCAACGCGTCGCTAACGACAAGTAGCCTTCGATAATCCTGGCGAACCGGTCCCCCAAATCCACCATGTCTGGCTAGATGTAGCTTGCATTGACCAGACGCGGGGATCGGCAGAAATGGCCTTGGAGGTTGGCCGTCAAGCGAAAATATTCAAGGGAGCCACGCACACAATTGCGTGGTTGACAAAGCTTTCCCGTCAGGGGTACTTATTACAGGTTGAAAAACTCCAACAGCAGGCCAAATTATCACGAGCTGAGGCAGAGAGCGGCATTGACCAAGTCCAACGCGGCCTGGACAACACCAGGCTAGAGATAGAACTTCTCAGCCTGGATCCATGGTTCTCGTCTCTCTGGACGTTGCAAGAAGCCTATCTCTGCCCACAGGCAATGTTTATTTCCAGACAGGGGGAGTTCATGAACCCCACTGAGGTTGACAATTCTGCCGAACGCCCCATGTTGCTGAGCGACTTCATCGACTACTGTGACCACATGATGACTATAGTGACTTCACACGAGAAGAAGCCACAAACTATCGAGCCAGACGACAAGTACCTGCTAGCACTGAAGCACTCAATTGAGCGCAGCGGTATGATTGGCCTCCGATCAAGTCTTCCAGTCACCCTCCTTGGAGCTGCTCGCCATAGGACAACGACTCGCGCCACGGATCGTGTGTATGGAATCATGCAGATCTTTGGATTCCAGCTGGGAAAGTCCAGGCCGGGCTGTGACCCACAAGTCGAATTCTCCCTTCCAGAACTGGAGGATGAGCTCGGTCGAGAGCTCCTCATCCGAGAACCTATTATGAGCCAAATGCATATTTTTGAGATTCCTCCCCAAGCCGGGAAGAGGTGGAGAATCTCTCATGACTCTCAACCTACAAGGCGTCTAAATTATGGAGATGGCAAGTCAGTCTTCGATGCCATGTCGGTAAAAGCAGAGCTCTCAACCGTTGCTCTCGGCGGCGCTAAATGGGGGCACTTCAGCGGTAAAGTCTGCAAATTTAGCAAGCTGGTCGAAATTTGGAATACCAAAAGAGGATGGAGCGGCGGAAACATTGATCTGGATGGTCCGGAACAATGGACCGCTGTTCATGGGCCTGAACTTGCCCGCAAAGAAGCGGTTGCTTTCAGTCAACAGCACCCAGACGCAGTTCTCTTACTTCTGGGCCTTGCAGAGATTAAAGCACCTCCTTACGACTGGAGCATGCCGGTAGGTCTCTTGCTTGTTCCCTTCAGTGGCCAGTCCGGGATTTCGGAGACTTTGGATGTTTGGCTGCGAGTCGGTATCTGTCAATGGTGGACAAGCACCGATCCAGATCACAGTCCTGAAGTAGTGAGAACCTTGCAAGGCGAGTCGAAAGATTGGATTTTAAGTGCTGGCGCTTTTGGGTAATCAAATATGAGAGAAAGGATTGTAATCTCAATGATGAAAAGAGTTTGGTTCTCACAATATACCTCTTGAATTCGTATTGGAATTGAATGGTCCATGAGCATATGGCGTCCAGAGGTCATGTGCAAATGTTCGAATGTATTTACAGTTTCTTTCGTTTGAAAATATATGCAAACACAAAGAAACAAGTCAAAGACAGCTACAGCCTCAATGGCGAACCGCTATTCGGCCTTCTGCGTTGGAATATTGAGAGTGCTGAAATTCCAAGTCTTGCCACCGTCAGGAGATGACATGTCGCCACCGGTAGCGCCATGTTCCCAGCCTCCGGTGTGCCCAAAACTCTGGTCAGCCTGGCTGAGCACAATGGAGACATCTTCCCAGCCTGTGTCATCGTCAGTTGCCGACTCTCATGCGGAAGATTCGGTTTGCTTACTGTGGGCGGGGTGCTCAGCGCAGCCACCGGACGCGCACTCGATAGAGATGTAAAAGATGTTTCCTTTCTGTCCCTTGCCTTCAAAGTATTTTTCAGTTTTTGATACAATAGGTAGGGCGATAGAAAGGAAGTGACAATTCACTTACTGGTAGAGACTGAGGAAGCGAGTTTGTTGTCAATGTAGACATCTTGGTCCCAGAGATTGGTTGCCGAGTTCAACTTGTCTGCCGATATCTTTAGTTATCACATTACCTAGCTTCCGGCTGAGATGACTCACAATGCGTCCTAATCGTAGATCCGGGTGATGCAGTGACGGGGTCACCGACGGTGGGATTTGAGCCTGTTGCAGCATCATGTCAGACGGGGTCTTTGACGGCCCAACTCGAATCTAGCACAACCGCACCACTCACCAACCAGAGTGTACGCGAAGTTACACCAACTTTTTCCTCCATCGTTACAGTACGACCTTCGAAGCGCGGTCAGTCACGTATCTCAACGCAGCCAGGAGACAGATCATCTTTCTTCTTACCCACTAGGAGAGTTGGAAGTCACGCCTTGCAGGAACGATGCCTGGTTCTCCATCATGATGGCACTCCATATCGCGACGTCTCCTGAGACAGAGCTAGGCAGCTTAGGAAGAACTAGGGTGGCACTGGCTTCCTGGATGTAGGCTGCGCCATTGGTGAAGAGGGAAACGATATCGGAGTTCGCCTGGGTTAGCCCAACAAGTGTTGCGAGCACGCCCCCGATAGCTTTGCTGGGTCCCTTCATGATCGCTGGCTGAGGTCTGACGAATACTAAGAAAGTTCGAACGTAAACTTTTGTTTCGTCTCTGCGCAATGTGCCAGAGGGAAAAAGGCAACAGGATAGAGTCTAACAACCTTATATGAATAAATTTGGTACCCCTGAAAGACGAAGAACCCCTGAGGTTGGGAGCCCGCACATGATGGGACGAACAGATTGAGACGGAAAAGCTCTATTCGGAACTGGGTCTGGAATGATTCGCCTAGCAACCTCCTGGCACCTGGAACCTATGGCTCCGCAGGGTTCTGTTCCCAAACGTCCTTTTGAGAGTGACAGTGTAATTATTCCGTCCGATATACGACCCCGGGTGGGGTTGAGAGACAAAGATTAATATATGCATATCGTTAGCGCGTTTCTCAAATTGAGTGCAATGATGCCGGGACCCGGAGTAGCCCGCTTTTCTCGCACGCACGATTGATTCCTCCTGCACGCACTCTAAGTGTCGGGAGTTCAGTTGAATAACCGGTCTAAAAAGGCAGAAAGGGGGTATGGTACGACATCAGAAGAGAATCTGTAAAAATTTATCCTTGAGCCTTAGGCCCGCTTCCTATACTAGCAGCTATCTCTTGATTCGCGATGATGCCTTCTGTTGCGCTTGCGAGCCGAGCCAACGTTACGCGGCGTCATAGTCGCCTTTTGTGAGCCAACGCCGCGGTAGCTTAGATTTATTGCGCTCCAGGGACGGAATTGTGTGGCTCAGATACCTTAGGTACGGTTAGCTCACCGAATGGGCTGCAAAATACGCGTATGCGACTCTTACTTTACCACCTCGATAACGTAGTCGACCTAAAATCAAGGCCGTAGTGTACACTTTTGGGCACTGAATACTTCACAGCACGTGCAGGATCGCTGGCCGGAAACTGGATACGAAAAAGTAATACGACAACTCAATACGACAGATCGATGCTAAGAGTCCATTGGGGAATTGGCACGTAATATCTATTCGAGGGAAGGCCTCTCAGCCAAATTTCTGTACGTAAGATGCTCGTCACCGAAAGTCGGGATACGCGGAGACTCATTGCGGGTTTGTTCCAAGGAGTGCAAGTAATGATAGTGACGGACTTTGAATCGAGCTTGTGAAGCACCAAGCACGCGTGACGGAGAGTAAAATCCTCGGTTTGAAAAAATTGCTTAAAACGACGACCTCCCGCCTAATCCGAGAGAGATCGATCTCTTCAGACGTAACAACAGCCGCAATGACTTCTTCACGCATTGCAATCGTGCTGATTACACTCATTGTTGGTTCAGTCCGAGCCGAAAGCTGCAAATGCGTAAGTCCCGTGTGAACTTATTTAATTTGGAAGACACTTCTAACATATTATCTGTATAGTCGCCTCAGGACCCCTGTTGGCCTCTGGCATCGGATTGGGACACGCTCAATAGAACATTTGACGGAGGTTTGATACAGTTCAACCCGCCGGGTCAGTCTGCTACTCATCTCAGCCCGATTACAACCAGGATGCCTGTGATAGTCTTATCACCCAGTATTCCACATGGGCATTCAATTCAGGGAACCCGGCCAGCATGGGCACGAAAGATGCCTGCGATCCAATCTACCCCAACGGCACCAGTATTTTTGGTAATACTCAAGCAGGAGCCACAGGCTGCTCCCTTGGTGCACTCTCCCCTTACGTGGTGAATGCTACTGAGGCGGGCCACGTTCAAGCTGCGTTGGAGTTTGCTGAGGATCATAACCTGCGTCTGAATATCAAGAACACCGGACATGGTGGCAAGCTGAGGTACGAGCGACCCCTGTGGTTTTCGCTTCGCTTTCAAAATAGCTCACAGAAACTTCATGTAGAAGTTCAGCTCCGGGTAGCTTGTCGTACGTAACCAGCATGTGACGAGCTGTATTGTCTGCATAAAACCTGACTGTTTATAGTATATGGACGCATCACATGAAGTCTTTCGTCTTTCACGAAACATTTCAGCCTACCGGCTGTTCTGTCAACGCCAGCAGACGCGGTGCCCGAATGGCGGCTACTATTGGTGCAGGAATACAAGATAGAGAGCTCTTCGAGGCACTGGCCGGCCACAATGCGTTCGGAACTGGCGGAACTAATAAAGTGAGTACAAGCTTGCCAATTCACGTAATGTCTATTACTGATCCCAGATCTAGGACGTTGGCGTTGTTGGGTGGTCGACAGGCGGAGGGCACGGGTTCATGACAGGAGCGTATGGCCAAGGAGCGGACAACATCATTGAGGCATCTATCGTCACGCCCAACGGGGATGTCGTCGTGGTCAACGAATGCCAGCATGAAGATCTTTTCTGGGCTATTCGCGGTGGCGGTGGCGGCACCCTTGGTGTCATCCTGAACTTGACTCTTCGGGCATATCCTTTGCCCGATGTCACTCTGTTCGGGATCAACACAGCCGCTAAGAATAGTACTTCAACCAAAACCTGGTGGGAGCTTGTAGCAAGATTCCATACGCTCATACCAGCCCTCCGAGATCAAGGACTTCACGGATATTGGTCCATGGGCGCTGCATCCAGAGCACTGGGTGGCTCATTCTTCCTGTGGAATGCCGACAACGCAACAGTCGCTCGAGTCACGGCACCCCTGCAGGAATTCTTCAAGAACTCGTCTGACTTGATTGCATATACTGCTGCACTCATCAAATTGCCTACCTTTTATGACCTTGTGAAGCAGCTGCCAGCTCTCGGCGACATGAGCAGGAACAGCGCGACATCGGCCTCCAGGCTCATCTCACGAGATGTCCTGACGCAGAACCAGACAGCTTTTGCGGAGACTTTGGAGAAGCTCGCTGAAAATAACGTTGAGAGCCTAGTAGGTTCATGAAAGCTCCCGTCAATACATCTTGATTACTCACCTGATTCTAGACGCAAGACAGTATCTCTTTCTCGGGTACTATGACGATCAGCTCCAAGCCAGTCAATAATTCGCTCAACCCCGTGTGGCGGCGTGCTTCAGTCCACCTCATCGTTTCGCAGTCTTATCCCGCTACTCTTTCGTCGGTCGAGACCCAGAAAGTTGTGAGCGACATGACATTTAACAAGCTCAATCTTTTGCGAGAGCTGGACCCATCTTCAGGAGCATACTTGAATGAGGTGAGTATCGCCTACGCTTCGATGACAGCTTGCAATTTCTGACTGAGATCTAGGCGAACGATTTGGAGCCTGGCTGGCAATGGTCCTTCTTCGGAGAGAACTATGGTCGCCTTCTCACGCTCAAGGATAAGTATGACCCAAATGGGCTTCTGTGGTGCAACAAATGTGTCGGAAGCGAGCAATGGGTGATAGTCCAGAATGGTAGTCTTTGTCCTGCGTAAGCCTTTCACCAATAGTACTTGGACATTTAGTCCGGTATTCAGGTGCTCGGCAGGCAGCAATGCATTCTTATCTACTCATCGAGTTGAAAGTTGTATATAATGACTGCAGAAACAAGAAGTATCCAAGTATTCACTCAGTCCTCTAAATGCAATTATTTCTGACAAGCATGCTCCCGGTTGCGCTGCTCGCCGTAAAACTCTCTTCAGACTGATGGAGGACCTTTTCCGGCACTATGTCTGCCCTTTGCCCGGAGCTCTTGCAGGAATGTACCTACCTCCAATCTCAATGACACGGAATGCCGCGAGCTTTGCCCTAGCCCAGTAACAACGGATCCTTGCTGTCTGGCTTCTCTCTGGTTCATGCAGCGTCTACGTGGTAGGTGCCATTCATCTCTCACTCTATTGTCATTGGCCGTTGAGGCGCATTTTCTTGATCGATTGACAATCAACCCAAGTGATCCCGGGGCAGCAAGGCACATTTCTGATATGCCTCGCCTTCTTACGCCAAATAGTGCAAGGCGTCTCGCACCGGTGGCTGGCAGCGACCTGTGACAGTTGCGAATCATCTTGTGCCAACAGATATCACAGTGCCTGAAGACCCTGGATGGAATTAGGCGCTAGTAGCGACATTGAGATGCTACTGGACGGGGGTTCTCGGCTTATCCAGCTATGTTCACTAGCTGCATGCAGGTTCCCGGCTGGGCGCACCATCGGACAACTCTTGGGTTGCCTTTTGGTTCGCCTTGGTGACCGGAGGGGCACATAAATCTTCCGAAAAATTGCCCTGGTGGAGATTTCATCAACCTTGAGCAACGAGATACCGCATACAGCGATGGTCAAATGACCGAGTCGGTACCCAATCCCCTTCCCGCCCTGACGGGTTGGGATAACGACAATTCAGCCTTTCTCACCAACGCCCACGACAACGATGTCGAGGCAAATCGGGAATCTTTCCCCTTTCTTTACGACGACTTGGACCAGCCCGAAACTCTCAAAAACTCCGCGGAGTCTTTACAACGTAATGCGAAAGCGGCTGTCCAGCGATACTATCATTTAGAGAACGAGCTGGACCTCGTTGTCTCATTGAAACTTTGGAATCACTGGAACCAGGGTTATCATGTGACTGGATTGGATACCGCTTTTCTCATCCTGGCAGCATATCACCCCGAGCTTGTAATCCGACTTTACTTTCTGCTCAAGCAGATTGTACTTCTGGGTAACATTGATGAGAACCCCCCAAGTTTGGACATATCTAGATTCTCAAAGGGATATTACCCAATGTACCTATTACAACAGCATGCTTTGCTTTCCTCTCCTTATAGATGGGAATGGAACGAGGTGTTCGTCACTTGGAGGGGCGGTTCACTCTCGCAATTACGCGACAGGGTTGTCTCATTTGATTTGGCTCTCCAGAAGTTACGAGAGAGCTGGTCGGTACTCCAAAAGTTGATGGACAGCCTCCGAAAGGAAGTTCCCCTAGATGGCATGGAGAAGGTGCGCACGGGTGTGATCGCGACATTTGCCTTTTTTGATGGCCATGTTCAGGAGTGCCGAGACCTCATCGACACTCTGGAGAAGGAAGGGGAAGGTTAGTACAATTTCAATGGCGAATTCATTGTTTCCTTGTGATATCCTGTATTGACCTCATGCTAAGTAAAAGTAATTATAGCAAAGGGCTCACTTGTCCCTGAAACCGGCATTTTCGAGCTCCCTTCAATATCTTCCGCCGTTGAGGAGGAGATGAAAACTGGAGACAACTATATGGCACCCTGGAACAGACCAGTCCCGAAGGAGCCGAGGCTCTGGCGCACTATCTGCCTTTCTCTCGTTACTTGGCTCGTCGTAGTTTCTCTCCCCTTTACAGTCCTTTCAACCTTTCTTTGCGAAGCCCCAGACGGCGTTCCCATGTACGACAGCAACTTCTACTCGACGCTGAGCCAGCAACTCTTGGGCTTCGGCGGGCTTTATGCCATTGTGAAGCCTCAGGTCATGCAATGGCTTGCTGCCATTGGATGGTTCAAGGAGGAAGGAGAGGAACCTCCCAAGGGCATAGAGACTAAATGGCCTATCACTTTCAACTGCCTGGTCAGCCTGGCTTTTGTCACTCAATTGGCTAGCGCGCCGGTCTACCCGTATTATCCTCAGTCCAGTATCCCGCTCGGTGCTGTCGCGGCGATCTGTGCCAACCTTGCGACATTGCTCATCATTGAAGACACTGGGAGCCAGATTGTGGGGTTAAATGAGGAGGTAATGTTCCTACGCTCAAGAGCTTAAAGAGCCTTCGGAGCATGGGAAAATTTAGAACAAGTATCGACAGGCCTGAGACATGCATAGAACTGAGATATAATTCGGCTTCATCAATTATGATATCTCAATCGTCTCTCATTAGTTCAAATTGAATTGGCATGAACAATGAGGCGCATCGGTGGCTTTGGTCGTCGGGTCTGCCATGTTCTCTGTCCCATGACGAACCACCTCTGCTAGCTTATGTCTACACCACGTATAATGCCTCATCTTTTCCATTCCCGGAAAGTTTCTGCACTCCCAACCTGCCAAACTGATCAAGGCTTCTTCCTAAAATGAAGTCCCTCTAAGTCTGCCAAAATGAACACAACGTGGAAAAATCCGCGGAATCCTCTATGCTTTGTCCTGACCAGCCGTCCCTATTCCGCAATTCCGCCCTCGACTTGGTGAGCAGAAACCCGAGCAAGAGCAACGAACCAATCATTGATCTCAATTCCATAGCTTTCTCATACGATGCCAACATCCGTTCCCCGCAGTCGGCTTGCCGCTGGGGTCCTGCTTCCCCGCAGGAACCTCCCGGGTGGCTGCAGCTCGCCTCCTTGTCCGAGCACATCCTCGCCGGCATAGGAAGGCTAGGAGCGGTTCTCATACGCCCTTCGCGTGTCGAGTAGATCCCTCAAGCAAGCGGAATTGTCATGCTTACACGTGTGTGATGTATCAACCATGAGATCAGTGAAATAAGACCGAGCCCAAGTTCAGATGTGCCATTAGACTGGCCTCCTTTCATCTTGAAGCTTCTTCGTGAACCCCAAACTACCAACTACCAGTAATTGACGTGTTAACCAACATTGAACCAACAAGATGTCCGACCAAGACTACATCCTCTACTCCTACTTCCGCTCCTCCTGCTCAGCCCGCCTCCGCATCGCCCTCAACCTCAAATCCATCCCCTACACCACAATCCCAACCAACCTCCTCAAAGACGAACACCTCTCCGACACCCATCGCGCCCTCAACCCCTCCGCCAGCGTACCCCTCCTTGTCAACCGGTCCGACGCAGACTTCAAAGTCACACAATCCGTCGCCGCCCTCGAGTACCTCGAAGAAACCCATTCGTCTTCCACGCCCCTCCTCCCCAAGGACGCAAAGACGCGCGCCGTGGTCCGGAGCCTGGTCAATATTGTCGCCTGCGACATCCAGCCCGTGACGAATATGCGGATCATGAGGCGGATCAGGGCCATGGGCGGAAATGCGGAACAGTGGAACCGCGAGTTGATGGCGGATGGGTTTGCGGCGTACGAGGCTGTTGCGAAGGAGTGGGCGGGGAGTTGCTCTGTTGGTGATGAGATTTCGTTGGCGGATGTGTGTTTGTTGCCTGCGTATTGGAATGCTGAGAGGTTTGGGGTGGATTTGAGCCCGTATCCGACTGTGAGGAAGATTGCGGAGGGGTTGAAGGAGCATCCGGCTGTTGTGAAGGCGCATTACTTTAACCAGCCTGATACTCCTGATGAATTGAGGGCGAAATAGATGTAAAACATAGGTCATTCCAAGTTAATGAGCCAGATGGACGAATTGAGCCAGTTTTCCCTTCGCCATCTCATGATCATTAAGTGACCAAGATAATCAGAAATGTCACCGAATGAAGCTCATATTTAATGCGCACGAAACGAAAGACTTTTCATTAATTGACGCTCATTTCTATCTCTCAATCACAATTGTCGCGATCAGAAGAGCTTCAGCGCAGCCTCAATCTTGCCGGAAACCTCACCGAATCCAACTAATGCGCCCTCCTGGCCGCTCCAGCCGCGGATGGTGAGGGTATCGCCATCCTGCAGGAACTTACGCTCCTCGCCTCCGGTCAATTGCACGGCCTGCTTGCCTCCCTGCGTCTGCTCGAGGATACTTCCCTCGGTGCCGGGCTCTGTGCCGGAAATTGTGCCGGATCCGAGCAGATCGCCCGGTCGCAGGTTGCAGCCGGTGATTGTGTGGTGCGCAATCATCTGCGGCCATGACCAGAGCAGGTTCTTTGAGTTGGTGCGGCTGATTGTTGTCTTGTTTCCGCTGGCGGCTGGAGAAGTGACACATGTTAGCATCTTCCATGAGGGAATGGTGCAAGGGATCAGGGTGAGAACGCACTAATTATGTCAACTTCAAGGTCGACGCCCAGAACGTTGTTCTTCTTGCTCTCGCGCAGGTAAGGCTGCAACTCCGTCTTGTTCTCGATACCTGCCGTCTTGGCTCCGTCTAATGCATCCGCGAGAACAACCCACGGGCTGATACTCGTGCCCAAGTTCTTCGACGTAAAGGGTCCCAGAGGGACATACTCCCACGCCTGAATGTCGCGTGCGCTCCAATCGTTCATAAGAACGTAGCCAAAAATATGCTCTTCGGCCTGGTCGACAGGCACCGGCTCACCAAGCTTATTCTCCCGACAGAGAAACATGCCCATCTCCAGCTCAATGTCGAGTCTCTGGCACGGTGCGAGCGTGGGCACCTTGGGCTCAGCCTTGGGATCCTTGAGGATCTGGCCCCACGGTCTGCGGATGGGCGTGCCGGACACGACGACGCTGCTCGCGCGACCGTGGTACGCGACGGGGAGGTGCACGTAATTCGGCTGTAGGGCGTTGTCTGGGCCACGGAAGAGCACGCCGACGTTGTAGGCGTGGTTCTTGCCGGCGTAGAAGTCGGTATAGTCGCCAATGGCGAGGGGCAGGTGGTTCTGGATCTCAGAGAAGGGGATCAGAGCCGTCTTGCGCAGATCGGCGTTGTCTTTGAGGAGGCCTGCGTGCGGGGTGTTTTCGGCGAGGATGGACTGCAGATATGTGCGGACTTCTCTGTGGACTTTGCGGCCTAGGGCGGCGAAGTCGTTTAGTGTGGCCGAGGAGAAGACGGAGACGTGTTCTTGGATGGAGGGCAGCGCGTGGAAGCCACCGGCCTTTGCGAAGGCCTTGAGATCGAGGACATTGTCGCCAATGGCGATGGCGGGTCGATGAGTCTGGTCTGAGGTTGTGGAGATGATGCCGAAGGGAATGTTTGCCAACGAGAAGTGGCTTTTGGGGGATACAGAGACCCAAGATTGCGTGTTTGACATGATGGCGTTTTTTCGTTGATTCGAAGAGGATATGATGACAACGAAGAATGCTTCAACATGCAATAACGAGAAGATATCTCTCTGTTCTTCAAGAGTTCTAGAGAAGATGAAGCTTCGAGCTTTCAGGGCCTTAGTGTGAGGTCATTGCTGTTGGGAATTGGGCGATTCCGCAATTCCGCCGCAAGCCGAGCGGGTAGGTGTGGGAACCGGGCCGCCGCGGAATGAAATGGTCGCTGCGGGGTAGCTCGGCGCCGTGGCGGGGAAGTCTTTTTGCTGTTCGTTTGCTGCGAACCAAAGCCGCGAGTAGGCGATGCATTTCCGCCTTTGCAAGCTTTGATATTCCCAAAGTTGGTGTAACCTAAGATTAATGTCGCATTATCTCTTGCCACATTCTGAGCATTGGACGTTGCCCTGTTTGAGTTGAGTTGAGTTTATGGCCTTCCCACATTCCCATTGTCTGACGAGCAAATATCTCGATACTGGGGTCTGCCTTAGAAGTAGAGATTCTGCTGCGACTTGGATAACTCTTTGGCCTTGCTAAGACTATCAGACGGTGCCCTGTTCACAGGAGTAGAGACCATTGGCGTCATGGCTCGAAGCTGAGGTTCAATGACCGCATCAGAAATTCCCTGATGGTCTGACACTGATCCATGTACCGAGCCCGGGTCTCTTGGTGGAGGAGGAGGCGGCGCAAACATGGGATCCGATACTGATGATATGAGCGATTGAGGACTTGCGGCAGGGAGATCGATGGCAGGGTCATTGTGCTCTGTAGCCTTGGATCGGTACCAGGCTTGAATGTCGTCCGGCGTCTGCAACGGGAGGCTATCCCATTCTTTGACCCGGTCGACTTTATTCTGTCTTGGTGTCCATGCAGCTTGAGGGAGGAGAGCAGGTGAAGATGCAGACTCGAAACCTTGGCTATGATCAAATGCCCCCGAGAGCACGCGGAAGAGAGCAGCTTCAGTCTCGGCAAGTCGGGTTTCAAGCTTGTTGAGGTACCCATTAGGAATGCCCCTGGTAACTTCTCATTAGTATTCATCATATCTATCTCACTGACTGTAGATGGCTGCATACCTTTTGCTTTGCTCTGGGTATTGGCATCGTCCAGGCTCGTGGCTGCATTGGAGACAAAACGGTCTGCGGGGAAGAATATTCAGCCTCAGGACTTGGCCAGACAAGGGTCCCTCTCAGAGTGCCGGGGAGCCACTTACAACTTCCTATCACACTTGAACGGTGTTAGTCAAATGCCGTGGTCAAAAGCGCCTAAGGGCACATGTCGGACTAACCCGTCGTTTCCTCTGTCGACAAGACTCGCAGGCAATGGGACTTTGCAAAGCGTTGCCTTCCCTCTCACTGCTGTTTCGGGACATTCTGCGATTCCGTCTTCTTTCCGGAAAAAATAGAACTGGATATCGAATATCTTGCAAAAAACCACTATTGCCGTTGTCGTCCTCCCTGGTCTACCCAAAGATCTCTGGCGCAAAAGCTGGTGTTCAAGAACAAAACTCCATGGTCGCTGCGGGGTTTTCTTTGTCCGCCGGTGCCCCACCCACCGGAAGGTGCCGTGTCATGGCCCCACCGTCACCGACGTCGCCCCCGACGCGGGCGCGTCAGCCTCTCGCTGGTTTCCTTTCTCGGACAACGATGCTTGTTTTTTTGTTCTGATAGTCTCGTTTCTCTCAAATCTCGCTCTCGCACAATGCAATGCTCCAAAGGCTAGCAGTTGGCTGATTTTACCCCAGTCTTGGCACATCTGGCGCATCTGCCATTTTCTCCTCCGCACAATATCGTCCGTTGACCGCCCTTCCTCCCTATCCTCTCCTCTCTTCCTTCATAGGTTCACTCTCGTTGTACCTCGGCGGACAACTCTTTTGTCTCCAAGGCCGTCAACTCTCTCTCTCTTCTGTTCCCCACAATCACATCATGCTTCGGGTCCCCACCGTTCCTCGAACCGTCCACTGAAGACGGGCTACCAATCCCCAAATCTTCATTCACCATCAGGGCGGCAATCCCACTACCTCCGAATGGACGCCGTAGAGTCGCCCAATGCCACCTCCGAGTCGGGAACCCTCAGTCCGGCACACTTCAACCACTCACGCAAGCGGAAACACTCGGGCTCAACAGACCGTCCCACACGCGAGTATGGCTTGATGCGGGACACGGGCAAGCATGACACCGCACGCTTCGTTGGCAGCGGCAGCGGCATTCACTTTATCCGGGGTGTGTACGTGAGGCTGGCCCGCAAGTCCGCGCTCAGGACATCCCAGTCCGCCAACAACATTAGCGATCTAGTCCCCGGAGAAGACGACCAGCTCCAGCGGGAGACGTCCTCGCGTGATGGAGACGAGCAAAACCTCTGGCGCAGCTCTGAGTTGATACCAGAGCCCGAAGGCGATGACTTCAATCCGACCTTTGAGCAGCTCGTCGACTGGTCGAGAAGCTACTTTGAAGCATGGCATCCGACGCTTCCTTTCCTCAGCGCTCCAGATGTACTCAACCTCTTTGAGGAAGTCAGCGCTGGCGGCGTGGCTGCCCTCGGCCATCTCGAGCGCTCGATTGTCAAGTCGATACTATCAATCTCTCTAGCTGACAGTCGCCAAAAGGCCCCCTTTGCCCAGCCGGTTCCATCCTCGCTCGTCTTCCGCACAGTCGAGGAGGCAATGTCGGCGTCACAGTTCGCCCTCTACCAACCTGCTTCGATCCAAGCTACACAAGCTGCCCTCGCCATACAATTGTTTCTCGTCTCCATGTTGAGACTGAACTCGGCATCCAGATTAGGCGGTTTGATCGTCAGAATGGCTTTCCACCTCGGCTTGCACCGGTGCCCCTCGAGATATCCCTTCTTCACCAAAGAGGAGGCACACATGCGCCGACGCGTCTTTTGGTGCATATACTGCACGGAGCGATTCTTATGCCAAGCTCTAGGCCTACCCTTGGACATCCGGGACGACGACGTCGATGTGTGTTATCCCGGCGAAGAAAAGCACGGAACACTTGCCGACGCCGAAGACAACAGGTTACAGCTGCTCACATACCTGGTCAAGCACGCGCGGATACGAGGGCTGATCTTGGAGCTGCGGAATAAATCAATACACTCACGCGACGATACCGCAGATCGGTCAAGTTACGTCCAAGCAGAGCTTGCAAAATGGTCAAACGAGATCCACGACGCGGTCGAAGACGAGCATACCCAGGATGAAGCCTCACCACAACCACCAATCTCTGCGGGACATCGTATCTTTTTGCTTCTGCTAAAGTACGAGTCAATGATCTCCCTCAATCGCCCGATGATGACGTCCGACCCTTCGAGCCCGGCGTACTCTGCTGGCTTACAAAATTGCATCTTTGCAGCGAAATCCATCTTTATTGCGTTGAAGAGGCATCATAGCCAAAACAAGATCCCAAATGATCATACAAGCGCCTGTTTGCTTGAACCGTTGCTGCAGCCATCATTCACATGGGCCGTGTGGATTAGCGCGTTCATTCTTATTTATGCTGGCTTTGAACGGCAGCTGCCTTTGGCCAGTGCCCTCAAGTAAGTATACCAAACAATTGCTTACGATGGCAAATTTGAGCGCTGAAATGCTGACTTTTTGTAGACACGTTGAATCAGGCAAGGAAGTTCTCCGCCATATTGCCTCTCGCGACACATCATGGCCAGAATACTGCCTCTCCGCAGTCGACGAACTCACCGCAGCCGTAAGAGAATTATCCGTCCCAAACAACCCACTCAGACGACAACCAAGCACCAGCAGCCTCGCACCAAACAGCCATCTTCGAACAGACCTCGGTCAGCAGGCTCGACCGAATAGTAGCTCTAACAGGCCTAGAGGCCTACGTTCCGACTCGACAAACACCCAGCCAACCGGATCCAGCCTCCGAGCCCGCTTCTCCCCCTCCGTCGCCGCCTCCTCCGGTCGGCCAGATGAGCCGGGCCTAGTTGCGCCAGATAACAGAATCTGGTCACAGAACCAAAGTGATGGACTTTCGGGGCCAACGGATGATCAGGCTGGGAGATGGCCCACTCAGGCTTCCCCGGCGTCGGGACCGTCCGTCAACGCGGGGTGGACGGCGAGCACGCCGGGAGCGCAGTCTGGGTTCCAGGCGACTGCGCAGCAGGACTCTCCCAACTTTGACAGCCAGCCGTTTTCGCTATCGCTGGGCGCTGCTACGTCGTTTCCTTCCATGGGGACGTCGGAGAATGCTCCTGGCGAGGGGCAGGAGTCTATGGTCTGGTATGATCAGTTGTTTGCCAATTCTTTTGGGGCGATTGATTATCCGTTTTTAGCGGCGGCGCAGTTTGATCCGTCTGTGGATCCTACGTGGTCGTATTTGCGGTAATGCTTGATGAGGGGAGCGTTTTCGGATACAAAGAGAAATCTAATGGAGGCCGAGGTTGCGTGAATGGCTACTACGGAGGAGAAGCTGGAGTATCTATAATTCTTTGATCTTTGATACCCATGTTCCTAGAAAATACAGGCAGGCGGTCTGTCTCTTGCAACACCAAATGCGAAATATCGCCAATTCCAAAGAGTTTTGAACTTTTGCATGCTACTTCGGAAACCGCACAAGGCCACGGCCACGGGTTACAATATGAAGGAAAATTGATAATGGGTATCGTTGCAAGTGAACCTATGGATTTTTCGAAGAGGTGGACAAGATAGGTCCCGAGACCTAAATTGGGCCGATCCTTCATTAAAGATGAGATCTCCGGCCCGAGGGTCCGGCTCACCACCAGTAGCTCTGAGGAAAGATACCGACAGACTGGGACTGACGATCACTGACAACCCGCCAGTTCGGCACTTTCGGATCATGGTCCCACAGGATGCAACGCTCACGAGACGAGCGGGGCCGACTGGTTGATCAACTAGATAGTGCTTGTTGACGAATAAAGGTCAACATGAAGCATGGGCATAGCCAACACAGCATATGGTAGCTGCGATATCTCTTATTCTTATCTGAATATTATGTGTTCGAATACAACCCTTCATCATGATCAGATTTGAAGCGGTGTAGTGGTACAATGTCTTCCCAGCGTGGCCATATCTGTTCTTCCAGGCTTCAATAGGCATACTTGGTACCGCTGGCGCCCATCTTCTTGTTCGTAGAGACTAGCCAGAATCGCAAAGCCCACGTACCAGCAATACAAGCAAATGCAAAAGCGGCATTACTCGACATAGCTGTAAGGTACCGAGGTCCATCGCTCTTAGGATACTGCAAGATTATGGTTAGTTTCAATCCTAGCAAAAAGTGACGCGAAGAATTTGCGTACCAAGTAAGCAGTGTAAATGTACGAAGCATTGGCAATGACGTTGACAATAGACAGACTGACAGCCTTTTTCTCCTGCGTCGATCCCAGCGTCGCCGAAACCCAGCCCAGAATGCACGAGTTGACGGCGTACGCTCCAGACGCGAAAAGAAAGCAGGAAATGTACCGCGCCGGCGTGTTGAGAGTGGCGCACGAGATGACGAAACCGACAATGGCCATGCCCATGCACGCGGTGATGTGCCAGGTTCGCTCGTTGTATTTACCGGATGAGATGCCAACGAGGTAGCCAAAGATGCCGGAGATGAGATACGGCGGGCAGGTGAGGACGAGAGTGATGGTGTCGTTGAAGCCGAGGGATCCGACGACAGTTGGGAAGAAGTTGTTGAAGCTGCATGCGGACTTTTCATCCTTGTTAGAATATCATCTCTTGTTTGCTATGTGAAGCATGGTGGGACTTACGAGGTGCATGTTTTGGATGAAGCAGAGGAGCCAGAGACGAGGATCGCGAACGGCTTGCATGAAACCCGCCTTGGCACCCTTGCTCTCTTCAACGCCGACGGTATCCCTGAGCATACGATCATGAGCGAGTTGGCGCTCCTCAGGCTTCAACCAGCGGGTGGTTAGAGGGCTATCAGCGAGTGTGAAGATGCCAATGACGGCGACGCCAAAGGTAAGGCACGCCTCGATGATGAACAGCCACTGCCATCCTTTCAGCCCGTGATTGCCGTCAATGGTGTTGAAGACGGCGGCGGCAATGAGGCCCGAGAAGGACGTGGCAAAGATGTTGCCCGAATACAAGATGGAGAGACGGGTGGCGATCTCCTTGCGGGTGTAGAAGATGGAGAGCATGTAGATGGCGCCTGGGTAGAAGGGGGCTTCGGTAACGCCGAGGAAGAAGCGAACGATGACAAGGTGGGTGTAGTTCTTTGCGAGGGCGGTGCAGCCCGAGACGAGAGCCCATGCCATCATACAGATTGCCATGTAGACGGATGGCCGGACGTGTTTCGAGGACATGAGCATGTTGGAGGGGATTTGCATGAGGAGGTAGCTGTAGACCGCACCGTCAGCATTGTCTCGGGCAAGTTAAAGCTTGGAGGTGATGAACCTACCCGACGAAGAGAATTGAGATGCAAGTGTTGTATTGCGAGCCCTGGAGACCCAAATCTTTCTCGAGACCATCCAGACGAGCCTGGGCGATTGCGTTTCTGTCGAGCTATGCATCTCGTCAGTTGCTCGCTCCTATTTTTTGTCGCGGCAACACAGATAAGACCTACGTAGTTCAAAAAGTACATGCACCTGGGGATCTGTTAGCTACTTTATCGAGTCAAATTACCCTGATGAAAGCCGTGAACTTACCAAAGCGTCGGCATGATTCTAAAGTCAAGCTTCCTGACAAGAGCAATCTCTTCCGCGCTCGTCTTTGCCACAGCACCAGAGTAATCGGCGCCAGGCTGCAATACGCCACCCTTCTCATCTTCAGTCGACATCTCAACAAAGTTGTCGTTGGGCTTAGACTCAAGGTCCAAGTCTTGCTTCTTCTCGTGAGCCATTGCTGTCTTTGTCTTTGTGCAGACTCAGTTGAAATGACGGGAGGAAATTAGGACGATTGGCGATATGCAGCAAGTAGGAAGAGGAAGGTTGACCGCTGAGATCGCTGAGAGTCCGTGGGTTGCAAAGAGACGAGACTGATAGGCGTCAGTTCAGCTCTTATACCTTGGATCTGCCTGTCTTTTGCCCCAGAATATCTGTGCTCAGTCCGGGGTAACTCCACGGGGTTGTGTTTAATCATGCCATATTTTCTCTCCTACGCCAACAGAAACCTGGCTTGGTGTCCTTTTTCCCTGGAGGATTTCCTCGCAAACAACAGGAAAAGTCTCCCTGGTTCCCCGGACTCATACTAGCTTAAGCGGACAAAGAAACTACCGGGGGCATTTGGGGTAAATCTGCGGGGGACGCGGGGAAATGGCATGGCAAGCCAGGTTCTTCACCACGTTTAGCTAGGTTGCGTTGAGGGGAAACTCGACGAGCTAGGGGCACATGTTCATCTGGATTGGTGTTGCTAAGGCTATTCGACGGGTCTCTTCTGCTGACCCATCCGGTCGGACGGGCTTGCGGGGGCGTACCGGGCCCAGAGACGTGGGACTGACTTACCCCGGATAGCTAAAATACAGACTAATTGAGGGTTGCGCATGGGGTTTTGTTGATCCTTGGGATCATATGAGTTGAAATATCCCCTAGATTGAGACATGGAAATGAGTCTAGGAGTTCTAGATCCCCAGGCTTTGAGAAGTGGGCAATCTCTAGATACCAGATGATTGATAAAGTGGGACGGAGATAGGACGATACGACGCTACATCATGATCACAAATTCACATAAGACGGGAGATGAGATACACGGTTGCTTGCAAATGCCTTCTACGCCTTGGAGACGCCCAGGACTCTTCGATTGGAGTCTAATATAACGCGAACATGAGCCTTCCTCCTAGCCTCCTGCCGTGGGAAAAATGACTCGTTGGCCAATCTCTCTAGATACAGCTCATACGCGGGCATGTACCCTTGAACAAAACGAACAACCTCCGCATCCGTCATGCCCGCACCTTTCTTCTCCCGCAATGCCCTCTCCTGGTCCAGACGCCAGTGGTAGACGTTGACTAGTTGGTCTGTGCTGAGGTGAAGGAATGCGTCAAAACGCCAGGGGCCCATGAAGCTCTCGCAGTACCTTTCCAGGTTCCGGTTGATGAGCTGAAGATGCTCGAGGCTATGACTGGCTAGTGTCGTTGTGGATAGCTGGATGTCCTCGGAGTGGGCTGCTGATGACTTCTTGGCTCTTTTCCACTTCTCCTCAACTTTCTCGGGCGACAGCGATTGGAAACCAAGGCACCAACCCTCGAAGATGAGAACCTCCAGAGGTGGATTTCTGGGCACGCTGTCCCACTGTGATTCTGGGGCTCTACCACCCTCACCGCTGAACAGACTTTTGTCGAATGACGGCCACTTGATGGGCTCTAAGTCTGTCTGATTTGACAGTGACTTTGACACATGTTCGAAGAAGCGTCTCGCTAGATCTTCATCGTGTGTTCCTGGTTGTCCGCGGGTACGGAGGAGGCCATTTCCGGGGTTGGAATCTCTCAATGATACCAGCTGGTCATGGTCGTGGTAAAGGTCGTCTAGTGAAAGCGTCCTTGTGTTGATGCCATACTTGGCGTTGAGTGTGTTGGTAAGAGCCTCAGCCCATGTTGACTTTCCACTTCCCTGCAGGCCCGAAAGGCC